TTGGCGCGGCTCGAGCCTACGGATAAAACACGCCGTCACCCCACAAATCCAAAAAAAATCTGCGAAGAATTGTGTACAGGTAAAAGTTTTTATTAAGTTAATTATTAAAATAATGTATTCCCAATAAATAATCGTGTATTGTCAAGTGCATATAATAATAAGAAAGTATGTAAAATTAATAATTGCAGTTAAAAGTATTACGTAATTGTGACGTAAGTATTATATTTTACATAAAAGAATTATACTTGCAGAAAATGGACAAGGAAAATAAGATACGTAGCAAGAATTTCACTAAAGATGAAAAATTACGGCCAACATGAATAATATATTTGATATAATTAATAATTATGAGAAGATTAACAACGTTATGGATTTCTTAGACTTCGACGAATACGAAGATGATAATCCTGAAAAAAAGAATGAAAGAAGAAAATGTATATTTAAACCACGTATTAATTATTTTGACACTTTAAATGACAAACTTTTCGAAGAAAGATTTAAGATATCAAAACCTGTCTTCATAACGATTCTACAAAAAATTAAACATGTAATACGACATGATAGTGATCGGTATGTATATTTACAATTTCTATTATATATTATAATTATATTTTGGCGATACTTTAATATTATGTTATACATTAACAGGAATAATGCTATTTTTCCTGCGATCCAATTAATGGTTGCTTTAAGATTTTATGCAAGTGCATCTTTCTATGTGGTTATTGGTGATTTTTCTGGAATTAGCAAAGCTAGTGTCCTGAGAATTGTGCATCGTGTGTCTAATGCTATTGCAGCATTAAAAGATGAATACATAAAGCTCCCTTCCACACAACAGGAAATTGTGGAAAATGAAGCACAATTTTTTCAAATAGCTAAATTTATCCATGTGATGGGGTGTATAGATTGTACTCATATAAAGATCCAATCATGTGGTAAGAACATTTTTACTATAGTATACAAACGTTTGTATTTTATACAATGTTTCTTTGTTTTCTAGGAAGAGAAGATGGTGAAGTATACCGCAATAGAAAGGGATACTTTTCTATAAACACACAAGTAGTCATAAATGCAAAATTTGAAATTATAGATATAGTTGCTCGTTGGCCGGGATCTGCACACGACTCAACTATTTTTGACCATTCAAGAATTAAAACTTTATTTGAAATGGGCAGATTCGGTGACAGTATACTTCTCGGAGATTCTGGATATCCAACTTTACCATATTTAATGACTCCTTTATTACATCCCACAACAGCAGCACAGCATCTGTATAATGAATCTCAGATTCGAACTCGTTCAACAGTTGAACGATTTTTCGGGATGTGGAAACGAAAATTTCCTGTTTTGGCGATTGGGATGCGTTTTAACAAGATTGAAAAGGCACTTGCTGTTATTGTAGCAACAGCTGTTCTATACAACGTTTCTATACAACAAAGATTTCAAAATCAAAATGTTGATGCATATAATAATGCTATTCAACAATTGTACAATGCTAATGCTATTAATATTCATGATCAGCGGCAAAATTTATTTTTGGACTATTTTCATAGGTAATATGCATTTATTATTACAAATAATGCAATTGAGGCAATATTTTAATCAACACTTCAATAATTTCAGATTAATTTAAACCGTATTCAAAGATATTTAAGTCTCAAGGTGGCACTGGATTAATAGATGTGAAATATGGTGGCAAGTATAGTGCTCCCTCAGAGTTAACGATAGGACGCAGTAAGAGTATTTTCCACTATCTTAGAATAAGTAATAACTAAAACAAAATAATAAAGTGATATGTATGGTGTTTTAATTTTCACAAAAATAAATACATATGTTTAACGCATTCTTATTGTTAGTGTTTTCTTGACATACATATGTTATAGGTTAATAGATCAAAAGTAAAATCTATACAAATAAGCGTAAATTTGCAAACAATAACATTTACGTAAAGAATATTTTATGTAAGAAAAGTAACTTATATAATTAATAATTATGAGAATATTAACAACGTTATGGATTTCTTAGACTTCGACGAATACGATAATGATAATCTTGAAAAAAGAATGAAAGAGAACGTATATTTAAACCACGTATTAATTATTTTGACACTTTGAATGACAAACTTTTCGAAGAAAGATTTAAGTATCAAAACCTGTCTTCATAACGATTCTAGAAAAAATTGAACTTAAATTTTTTAAATAATGAAACTTAAATTTCTTAAATAATGAACAGCCTCTTGTAAAGACTAGTACATATATGTAAGTCTAATATTTGCGAAAGTTTATTATAAACAAAAGTGTTCTATTACCTAAAATATTTTAATACAGTCTTATATTAAAGCTCACTGTAAAGCTGAAATCGTGAAACTATTTTAAGACTGTTACTTATTGTTAGTACTATATTACTATATACTATACTATTTTAAGACTGTTACTTACTACTATATTATATTAAGACTGACTCATAGTTTTCAACCATATAAAAGGAAAAGTCCTAATTAAAATGTACTTAATTTTATAAACAAATAAATTCGTATTGCGTACGATTATACTGCGATCACATCAGTCTTATGAAAAATATCACAACATTATGTTATAAATAAACAGTCTTATGAAAAATATCACAACATTGTGTTATAAACAAAGTAAGTTTAGTGTAATAAAGTAGTAACAGTGAGTATAAAAGCTATGCTGTTATTACAAAGTAAACGTTATGCAAAATAAAAACATTAGTACAGAAATAAAGTTTAGCACTTTGGTTTAAAAGTTTATAGCAATAAATACCTTTACGTTTCCTCTGTTAATGTTTCCTTTCTAACTGACATTTTTAATAATTTCACTTTTAGCTGCTCTTGTTCCAATTTTTGTTTCAATATTTCTACTTCGTAGATATTTTTCACTTCTATACTTGATTTTAAAGTGTTTGTTAAATCAATTTTTGCTTTTTCTAAATCACAGCTCTCTTGATATGATCGTTTCTTACATCTTTCTTCTGTTAATGTGACCATATTTTCATTTAAAGGGAGACTTTTCTGTGAAGGAATACTGTTATTTGAAGAAGAACTCTCCTGTAAAGGAAGACCTTTCTTTAAAGGAGGACTTATTTCCGATCGTAAATTTTTAATACTGCAACCCTGCCAATTTTTAATATTTTCATTTTTCAACAAATACTGAAAATTTAAAGCATATCAATTATTGAAAATCCATATACATTACATATTTTAGTAACTTACTGTAAACACCTCAACTGGATCATCGCAACTATCGTTATCTTCTAATAATTCCTGAACATGAGCGTTTTCATTAATTGTTATAGCATCCGAATCAAACGGATTATGTAATCCAGATACTGCGGCTTTTGTCATCATTTCTCGAACTTGTTCTAATAACGGATTTGGTTGTACACTTTGAACACCTCCACCTACAAATAAAATAAAGATCTATCCAGATAGCTAATACAACAGGATTTGATAATTGACTAATGGCAAAAATTGTGCAAGATCTGTCATTTTAATATTTTCCAACATATTGCAGATTCTGCTTGCTTTTTGCTGTCAATCTGGTGCAAATTCTGTCAACATGTTTGTCGACATATCACCAGTTGATTGCAGATTCGGATATGTGTGTATGTCAACAAATGTCCTGTTAAATCTGTTATCAGACTCCTACCCTGATAGCACATAAGTCTCAGTTATGTTGCAAAGACGTTTCAGTGTCTGCAACATAACTGCAACATAACTGAGACATAACTGAGACTTGTTGTGCTATCAGGGTAATGGATTATTTACTGGGAATACTTTATTTTAATAAATAACTAAGTAAAAACTTTTACCTGTTTTATATAATTCTCTCTGTAGCTTTGCACAATATTTTTTGGTGTCTCTTTTCAAATTGTCCCAACACAGACGTAAACATTTTTCTGTTCGTTGCTGGGTCTCTGGTTTATTCCTATTAAAATTCATAGTTACGTTGGCCCACGCTTCTTCTTTGTCTTTATTAGTCGTCATATTAGTCGCTTTATTTTCAATAATATATTGATATAATGATATTTCGTGTACAAGCCGTAATTTTTCATCTTTAGTGAAATTCTTGCTACGTATCTTATTTTCCTTGTCCATTTTTTGCAAGTATAATTCCTTTATGTAAAATATAATACTTACGTCACAATTACGTAATACTTTTAACTGCAATTATTAATTTTACATACTTTCTTATTATTATATGCACTTGACAATACACGATTATTTATTGGGAATACATTATTTTAATAATTAACTTAATAAAAACTTTTACCTGTACACAATTCTTCGCAGATTTTTTTTGGATTTGTGGGGTGACGGCGTGTTTTATCCGTAGGCTCGAGCCGCGCCGA